CTGCCTCTTCTTAATGAAGACCCTGTGGTGAAACTGGGCCCACCCAGATAACCCTGGATCATCTTCCCATCTTAGGAATCTTAATTTAGTCAGATCTGCAAAGTCCCTTTTGCCATAGAAGGTAACATATTCACAGGTTCTGGGGACTAGGGCATCTTTGAGGGGCCATTATTTAGCCTACAACTAATTGAAAATGAATAAACAGTGTGTCAGTTATTTGTTCAGTAGAGTGAGCATCACAGTGATATTAATTCTGTGGTAATAAGGAGAACTGGGGGTGCCCCTAAAGCATGAGCCCATCTGGGAAGGTGGGGAGAAGGCATCTTAGGAAATGCAGTGAAGAGGGACATGTGTGTAGTGGGATCATGGGGAGGGGGACAGAGGCGCCGTCGGCAGTGGACCTGTCTAGCTGCAGTAGAAATCATAGGTGAGAATCTATGGGGAGAACATAGATGATTCTTGAATGAGGTAGAACCTGCATGCCCCATGAAAGAGCTTAGCTTTGATCTGCATTGGTGGAGGCTGCTGTCGCATTTGGAAACAGAATATTGATAGAAAATTGGTTCATACTTTATGAACCTTGATGATGACTCTTGGAGAATCCAAATTGGAAGCAGGCTTGGAAAAAGAAAAAAGAACAGGAAAACCTAGTGGACAGCAGGAAAGGACTGGGTTGGCAAAATCTATGTAAAGAATACTTGAGGAATATACTAGAAAGTCTGAGAGAATCACTGTTTGTGTTGCTTAAGAGATTGGAAACGAGCTACTGGGGAGTAGGCTCCCCCAGTGTCCCCAGATGAAATGTCCAAAGGCAGGGGACATGAGGGAAGCTGGCCTTAGCGGCACTCTGTCAGGTAAGTCAGAAGGCTTACACTCTCTCCTGCATTCTTCCTGTTTGGGAATCTCATCTTTAATAAGAGCACCTCACTGCCCTAGACTTTGTTGTTTAAGGCACCCGGGATGCTGGCTGTCTTGAACTCATTACACTTTTATCGTGGGCTGCAGAAACTCTGGTAAAGGTTAATTAGGGCCATGTCTATCCTTATGTGGTAGTTTTACATCTCCTAAAGCTTTATTACCACCAATATTCATTACTTATTGATCTTTTTTTATTTTTCTTATGCTCTATGGCTCGGTTCCAAGGAAGGCCAGAGCTATAGTGGGGAATCAGATGACAGCTTGTATTTAGGACAAACCAGAATGGGCCTAGGTGATCCTTTTGCTATGAGGCATTTTCTTCTTAGATGCAAAGTCAAGGGGATTTTGGAAATGTTGAAATTAAAACAAAAGCATATTCGAGGTTCTTTTCTTTAACCACCCCAGTAATGATAGATATTTTGAAACTGTGACATTCTCCTGTCTGTCAGGCTTTTTGCGGAAGGAATGCCAGACACATAGATGTTTTCCTGAATTTTGTTGATGAATCAGGTCGCTTGTAACCCGAGAGGCAGCCCTACTGTTATCTTTAGAGCTGGTAGGATGGCCTGATAACTCTGCAAGGTGGCTGGTGGGCCCATGCATGGCCAGAAATGCACTGCGTTTTCTGCCATCCCCAGCTGTCCTGTGTTGGGGGCCCACCAGCTGGTGCCTGGCCTGGACGTCCTTCTCCTGAGTGCGTGCTGGGTATGCCCGGATGAGGCCTCCTAAGGCAGACCAGAGAGAGTAGCAATTCTCCTCTCAGTTCTCATGGTACTTTTCTCTTTTCACTGCCGTTCAGAGCATCATTCAGAGCTGAAAAGCTACTTCTGTCTGGTCCCTCATCTTTTTGCTCACATGTTCTTTGCCTCTCCAGTGGTTTCTAGGCTAGTATGTTGTAATCAGAGGACTGCCATGGATGTTACACCTTAGGATTTCTTCCTGTGCAATCATTTCAGGAGAAGGTCGTATTTATTGCTTCAGAAAACAGGAGGGATAATGTGAACTAATATCCTAGTGCAGGGCTACATAATACATTTCACTATTTGGGCCTGAAATTTGTCTTTTCATTAAAGTAATACCATATTCAAAGTTGGAAAAGTCAACATTTCCAAAAGGCCTATAATGAAAGAATTCAGTAATCCTCACCCTCAACTCTTCTAGCTATTCCTCCTGGTCGTTACCTCCCTGCTCCTAAATAATATTCTCATATTGCTCTTTAAGGAATTTTTATTCTTCCCCCTATGTTGTGGGAGTATTTAAGACCCTTAGGCAGAGGAGAGGGTAGAGCTCAGTGGTAGAGCATGTGCTCAGAAGGCACGAGGTCCTGGGATCAATCCCCAGTCCCTCCATTAAAAAAAAATTTAAATAAATAAACCTAATTCCCTCCCTCAACAAACAAAACAAAACAAAACAAAAAAGACTCTTAAGCAACCCTGTGCCCACTGCATTTGCCTTTTGGAAATATTTTCTAGTTGTGTGTTTGTTGGGTTCATCCCAAGTAAGCAGTAAGGCAGTTACTGTTCTTAGTTGGGTCATTGGACTCCATTCTTAATGGTTCATAGCAGAATATTCCTTGAATTCCAAACATACTGATAACTGAACAAAGTAGATTAAGAGCCTCTTCCTGTGTAGTGAGTAAGGGGGCTGAAGCAGCACTGTACAATTAGAAGAAGAAACCAGGGCGAGTTTGTTGCTGTGGTTTAGGCTGTCTTAAACTGAAGTGGAAATTGAGGCTGTGCAGAAACCTAGGACTTCTTCTGAGTCTGTGGCAGGTAGTGGAGTCTTATCTGCCCTTTCCTAGAAAATCCATAAGGGGTTGGGCATTTATAAGCATCTCAGGTTTGTGAACTGGAGGTGGGTGCCCTGTCTCACTCTGCTTCCGTAGTACTTCTAGCCGTCATTAGCCAACCAGAGCAGATAGGGAAGACGTGCCAAGGCCAAGAGCACTTAAGAACTGAGCACTCCATCTAACAAGGGATATAGTCAAGTTTTTTTCTCCACTCCTGCCCTTCAGTGACTCTTAAAGTGTACTGGAGCCACAGGGTTCAAATGGCTTAGAAAGTTCTTCTGGGGCACTGATAAGATCAGACAAGTTCTTGGAAAATTCCAGTTGTCAAGGATTTCTATAGCACAATATGTAGCAGTTAGAGTATGGGGAAAAAAAGGAAAGAAAGGTTTTATGGGAGGAAACAAGCAACTCCATTAGAACAGATTAACTCCCCCAACTGTAAGTTAAGAAAAAAACCCCATGAGACTGTAGTGAACAGAACTGAGAAAACAGACTACTGACTAACAAGAACAGGCTTTTCATAAAAACGTATGTATTTCTGCATTTCTATGAATATAGATCTTTATCTAAGGACTTTAAGGATAAATCTGAAATTATTTTATTTATTTAACCGTATAACTATATTTTATTTTATTTTCAAATTTGAAATTATTATGACTATTCAGGTTTTTTTGCTTTACATTTTAACCTAGTATAGTAATTATTACAAGCAAAAGATAATGTGTAAAACGCAGGTAAGTTGTAAACCACTGTATTATATTGTATGAAAACCTAACTACATCCTACTCAGTTCAAGAACCAGAGGTTACCAGTAGCTTACAGCTACCTATAGGTCCTCTCCATTACATCACTCTGTTTAGATGAAATCACTTTCTTGAATTTTGTGTTTATCATTCCATTGTTTATAAAAATAGTTTCATAAATCTGAAATTATTTGATCTGCGTGCATTCACTTGTCCATACACTGACTCAGTACATACCATAAGCCAGTTTCATGTGTGCTAGGGGCTGGGAACGTGATGGTAAGGAAAAGCAACACTGCCCCAGTTCTCGGAGATTTCCAGTCTAGTACACAAAGCACTCTATGCACAGAGTGAGGAGGCCAGTGATGGGGAGGGCGTTTGTAGAGGACCTTGGCTAGGCTATGGCGCCTGGGAATATCAGCTCCTGGAGAATCTCATATTGGATAGTTGAGCTAAGATCTTAAGGTTAAGGATGGTTTAATTTAGAAACAGAGAGTTGGAGAGTGGGAGATGTGCAGAGTCCCAGTGGTGGGGAGAAAGAAGATACACTTTGAGGAACTGAAGGAAGGTTCAGTGACCAGAGCTTGGGGTATGAGGGGCAAGACATGAGAAGTGAGGCTGCAGGGCTAGGCTGGGCCAGTACCACACAGTCAAGGATTTCAAGCAGGAGAAATGACCACAGGGTGGATGGGGGCCGTGTGAGTGTGGAGCTGCCAGTCAGTAAGCTCTGGCCACAGCCTAGGTGAGGGGCTGCGGTTTGGTGGGTGGTTGGAGCTGTGGATGGATGTGGGAAGTCTGGAGCGGGTAAATGGATAGGACTTGACATATTGGATGAGAGGGATGAGGGAGACGGAGAAGTCCAGGGTGGGGCTTAGGTCTCTGACCTATGGAATGTGCTAGAATGGATGATACTACTTTTTTAAAAAAAGAAATCCTTATAAATGATTTTCTACAAGTAAGTACAGTCGGCCCTCCATCCATGGGTTTGGCATCTGCAGATACTGACGCCTGACTGTTCTACACCATTTTGTATAAGGGACTTGAGCGTCTGAAGATTTTGGTAGCCGCAGGGCACCTGGAACCAGTCCCCCCTGGGTACCGAGGGACAACTACTTTTGGTATACTTTCTCAAAATTGACAGACTTACTTACAGAAAGTCTTTAGGGAATGAAGTGGACAGCGGAAGAGGGTTATTTTGACGGTTGTGAAGACCAAAGTGGAAAGCCCAGAAAGCTCCAGAAGGCCCCAGAAGGCCAGAACTTGAAGTGGAAACATTGCCTGGAGCTGACAGTTTGAGTAATGATGGGAGGAAGGTCATAAAGATGCTCCTGATAAATTTTTTACATGTAATTTGAATGAAAGATGAGCAGCGCACTGTGAGGATTGTATGAAAGCCTGACCGTATTTGAGCAGGAACATTGGAAGGCATGATCAGATTTTTGTTCAGGGAACACCTTTACCCAGTGAGCATTCCTCTAAAAGTAAAGCTTATAATTTGGGAAGTTACAATTTTACAAGTTGGCAAAACTGGACTTGTTTTGTTTTCTAAGGTGATTGACATGCCTGAGCACAACCCTGGCAATTTGGGAGGAACAATGAGGCTGGGAATAAGAAGAACTGTTTTCAAAACTGAAAATTCAATATTAAGTAAGTTTCTCAGATTGTTTGTTCTATAACATGTCGGGCATCCTTCGCACGGCTGTGTGCAGCCACAGCCCTCTTGCGGTTCACTCACCCGGTCCAGCTCTCCCCATCCCTGCCAGCGGCCCCTCCCTCTCACCTATCTCCCTCTGCCTTCACCGGTCCTCCTGCTTCGCCATCCCTCTCCCTGGAAGGGTTGGTGGAACACATGTGGATGCCCCTTCTCATTTGCTCTCCATCACACCCTGGCCAGTGGGCTGCTTTGTGCTTTCCTGATGTGCCCGGAGATGACTCTACACTGAGAGGGCCCTGATTCCAGCTCACTTCTTTGGACTCCACTGTTCTCTCCACTCCATCGAAAACAGCTCCCTGTTAATTTCGTGTCTGACTGGTTTTAGCCACTAACTTCTGAACTTCTTCAGGAGGGGTTGGTTATGTCCCAGAAGTCTGTTTCTCTCTTCCTCCAGTAGCTCCAGCATGGGGAGAGGAAAATATGATGTGATTCACTGTCTGATATTTGCTGATCTACTCCCAATGAGGTTATTCTAATTTCTGTGGAACTTCCTCCCCATAGGTTAACATATGATATTAGAATAACTTAATGTAAAAAATACTCCCAAAGCCCTGAATTCAATTTAATAAATATATGTGAGTGCCTCCTCTGTGCTACGTGCACTGTACTCGATTCTGCAGATACACTAGCGACCAGGACAAATGCCAGCTACTCCCTCCCAGGGCCTTAAAACTAGTGGAAAGAGTGTGGTGATGGGGGACTTGCAGGTGCTACCAGAGCCAGATGCAAGGAGAGAACCCAGGTATTGGGGGCATCCAGCATCATTCCTGTGAAATTATAAGAATGTATTCAAAAAGTGCCTCCTTTTTTGAGGGGGTGGTAATTAGGGTTGGTTGGTTGGTTATTTGTTTGTTTGTTTGTTTGTTTATTTATTTATTTATTTATTTATTTATTTATTTATTTATTTATTTAATGGAGGTACTGGGAATTGAACCCAGGACTTCATGCATGCTAAGCACACACTCTACCACTGAGCTGTACCCTCCCCGAAAAATGCCTTCTTAACTCAAGGAAGATTATAGAAATATGAGTTTCTCCTTTGAAAAGGCTGATAAACAGCTTCTAAGGAATGTAAAGCTTCCTAGCAAGAAAGAAATTTAAAAAGGAAGAGTTTCAAAGTGCACACATTTCCCTGCTTTCTCTGACTGAGAAGCCATTGTTCTGTAAGTGACTTTTTTCTTTGAGAATAAAACCCTTTTTTCTCTTTGTGTATATTGGCAGCAATTCTTTGGCTTTCGGATGTTTTCAAATACTTTGAAACTTTGTTCAAATAGTGGCCTAAGTGGCAAAAAAATGGTTAGTGAGACATTTCATCTTTTAAAATAGTATCTGCTTTATAAGATTGAGTTATAATCGTGCTAAGCTTTTTAAAGAGCGCTGTGTTCAATATATTTAAAAATTGGATCTGTCTCGATGGAAATAAGATTGACATAAGTTTGTTTTTCTTTACAGCAGACATAAAAGTAATGTTGATGATTTTTATGAATCTTTAACACAACACCAAAGATTGTTGCCTAACATTTTTTTGCCTGCCTTGACAAAAACTTTTTAACAGCTTTATTGAGATACAACTTACATACCATACAATTCATCTGTTAAAAGTGTACAATCCACTTTTTTATTTTATTCACAGAGCTGTGCAACTGTCATCACAGTTGAGTTTTGAACATTTTTATCACCTCAAGAAGAAACCCTGTTCCCTTTAGCTCTCACCACCCCCTTCTCCAGCCCTAAGGCTCTTAATCTGTTTACAGTCTCTATAGATTTACCTGTTCTGGATATTTCCTATAAATGGAACTGTACAATCTGTGGCTTTTTGTGTTTGGCGTCTTTCATTTAGTATGTTTCAAGGTATATGTGCATCATAGCCTGTGTTAGCACATCATTTCTTTTTATGGCTGAGAAATATTTCATTGTATGGACAGACCACATTTATTTATCCAGTTATCTATTGATGGTTATCCAGTCATCTTCCAGTCCTGCCTTAAATTTAAATTGTGCTTCATAGTTTGCAAAAGGCATGTGAGTAGATGAGCCTGTGGTCTCGAGGAGGTACACGGCTTTCCCTCCCACCTGTGCAAGTCCTTCAACAGGAGTCCAGAAAGTTTTGTCGGAGGTGAGATAAAGATATGACCATTGTGCATGGCTCTGTTGAGTGTCATGAAAATATAAAAACAAGTAGCACCATAGCGTTTTGTGTATTTTTCCCCCAGTTGGCATATTTCTTTGGTAGGAGCTTTCTTTTTAAACCAAGCCGGCATATTTCTTTCCAAGGATTTTTTTTTCTCTAGTCAGCCCATTTATTTTGTAGGCTTCCCCCCCCAGTCAGCACATTTCTTCAAGAATGGTAGGAACAAAATACATTTGCCTACATTGCCTGTGAAAATAATTTATACTTTTGATAGAAAGCATTTTGATGCTATTCATTCTTTATTTAAATTTGATTTATAGGCTAGTGATTGTAATGTTCTGAATTAAATGGAAAAACAGAAAGGTAAAGAGATTTTTTAGTAAAAGAGAATACTTTGAAATAGGACCAAAGCCTAAAGATATTGATAGACAAAAATGGCTGGATTACTAAAGTGATTCTAATTTTTATATTCATCAAGACCATTTCTTTTTTTTCTTAGTCACTCAGTAATTCCTTAAGGGTTATGAAAACTATGAATTTGATTTTTTTCTTTTTTTTTGATTTTTTTCTTTTTTTAAAAATCATTTTATTGAGGTAAGATTGACATACAAAAAGCTGTACATATTTAGTATATACAGCTTAGTGAGTCGACCTTGAGTTTTCTAAAGTGAAGATTATAGGTATAAATTTATTTGGACAAAAGTACATGGTACTAATCATTTGCTCTGTTTATAGGAAATGTGTTCCCAGAGACCTACTCCTATCCTGCATTCTGTATGTGTGTGTTGTCTTGGTCTACAGAGGCTTTTTCTTATTAAAGGACTAATGACAGTGTGTGAGGAATTGCCAGTGCTGGTTCTAAGGTCTTTAGAAATAATATATTTTTTTGAAACTGCATTTCTCTGACCCTTCACCCAAGTATTAATTGCATGTTCACGGTCTTTCCCAAACTTTTATTTATCGTGCTCAGTTTTTATATAGTCTGTTATTATAGGAAACTTTTTTCATTTATTTGTCTATTATTTAACATACATTTAGTTGAGTTAAGAAACTGTAATATACTGATTCATTTCCTATTGTTAAACATTTCAGGTTGTTTCTGGCATTTTGTTAGAAAAATGCTAGTGTAAATATCTTGACACGGTGCTCTTTTGTTCTTTTGATTGTTTCCTTAGGATAGATTTCTAGGAATCAGACTTTTAGGTCAAAGGGTATGAACACTTTCATGACTGATATTTCTGCCAGATTGTTTGAAAGAAGAGGTGAACCAATTCATAATGACATTTACTGTTTGGTTCTTGCTTTCTCTAGTCTTTTTGCTAGTGTTTTTATTATTTTTCTACTTGCTCTCTTAGCAAGAACAAAAAGGGCCTTGTATTATTATACTTTAATTTGCATTTCTTTTCATTTCTACGAAGTGGAAAGTTCCCCCTTCCCCAGATGCTAATTTACTTCTGTGTATACCGCCCATGTCTGAAGTCTCCAGCAGCACTTAAACATGGGAAGATATACCTGCCCAAAGCCTATTGCCTAAATGGTCTAAAGTAAGGCTTGGTAAGCTTTTTCTGTAAAGGGCCAGAGAGGAAATATTTTCAACTTTGGGGTCAAATGGTCTTTGATACATCTACTCAGCTCTGTGTTGTAGTATGGAAGCAGGAGTAGACAAATATGTAAATGAATGAGCATGGCTGTGGACACCGAAATGTGAATTTCATGTCATTTTCATGCATCATGAAATATTATTCATCTTTTGGTTTTTCCAACCATTTGGAAATGTAAAAACCATTCTTAGTTCGAGGACTGAACGAAGACAGTCGGGAATCCTGTTTTGCCTTAGGGTTGCCATGGCTTGCAGTACCCCTGTCTGAACAAAAGAAGCACAGGCTGAATGAAGCACAAGTCCAGGCGGCAAGGCTGCTACCCTCCTCAGGAGCATTCAAGGACACTTCCCCACTTGTTCACTTGCCTGTCTGAATATCCTGTTTAGTGACAGAATAAGAGCAAGAGGGCTTTCAGAAGCGATTTGATCCAACTTCTGTATTGTTCACCTGAGGGAGTGGAGGGCCTGGAGGTGAAACAGCTCACTGTCCTTCAGTGGGTGAGGGAACCGTCCTGGCTGCTCCCCCCTGCCCGGCTGCTCTTCTCCCATTGTTCCTAGTCTCCTCCTACTGGACCGCATGGCCCTGGCTCCACAGCCCCCCACTACAATCTCTCTCCAAAAGGTAACTCTTTAGACACACATTTTAGGATTCTTAAGCCTGTCAGACACTTCATATCTGTTTGTTTTATTGCTTGTAAATTATCCCTCAGTTTAAAAAACACATTTTCTCTGGGCACGTAGATGGTAGGACTTGTTTCCTTATAGTGATACCATTAGTTGGTTGATTAACTTATTTGTTGAGGTAGATGTAGCCAGTATCTAGGTTCTTGTCCCGTCCCAGAAAGAATTCAGAGACAAGATGCAGAAGTTAAGAAAGTAAAGTGAGGGTTTACTGGGGGAGAGATGGTACACTCTCAAGGGAAGAGCGGGCAGGCTCAGGTGAGCAGCTGCCCTGAGTTTTTTTGGCAAGTTGGTTACATAGAGTATAAAAATCAATGGGCGGAATATTTGTTGGCGAGGGAACGGTTTGCGGTCATATTCCCTGATTTTTATCCCAGCTCCACCTTCCTGAGGGGTGGAGGGATTTTTGTCCTTATTTAGTCTGGATCGAAAGTGTCATGGCATTGGTGCATGATGGGTACTTCTAGTCTGCAAGGCTAATTTTACTGAAACGAGGGCATAATGAGCAAAAGGTTTAATTA